CCTCGTCGCCCTGGGCCCAGGAGCTGACCTGCAGGGCCCCCCGTGAGCAATTCCCAGCCAGGGGCTCCCCATCCACCTGCCACTGGAGCCGGGGAGGGGGGTGGGAGCGCAGGGAGCAGCTGCAGCTGACGCTGGGCCCCTGGCGCTGGCAGGACGAGTTCAGCCCGGTCCCCGGCCGGGGGCTGTCTGGGGAGAGCAGGAGACACAGCGACAAATTAATAGTCAGAGAGAGAAACCCAGTGTCAGGGAGTCCTATGGGTTAACCCCACTCACATCCAGTGGCAGGGAGTCCTGTGTCTTAACTCTTCTAATACCCAGGGACAGGGAGTCCCATAGATTAATCAGCTATTATCCAGAGGCAGGGAGTCCCGTGGGTTCTCTGCCCTGAGACGTCTTTTCAGCCAGCCCCTGGGCGCTGATCTGGCCCCATCCTTGGCCAGCAGCGCTTCACACTAACCCACCTGCTTCTCCGCCCTCAGCCTGGGCACTCCGGGCCCTCGTAGATAGCCCAGGAGTCTTTTCAAGCCTCAGCTGCCCCCCTTGGGGCTGCCCCTAAAGCAGCTAATTAACGATGGCACAGGGGGGGTTGCACTGTCTCTGTTTAAAGGGGCCAGGCACGCTGTGACACCTGCTAGTAGTCAGTGGCAAGGACTCGCACGGATTAACACTGCTACTCTCCAGTGTCAGTGTCCCAGGGGTTAACCCCACTCACACTCGACGAGCAGCTGGAACGTTCCCTGGGCAGAGCTCTCATTGTTCTGGGCCCAGCACCCGTACAGCCCCCTGTCCTCGGCCTTCACGTTGGGCAGCTCCAGCCGCAGCTGATTCCCCTCCATGGGGCCGGCTCCCTTGATGGCTCGGCCCCCCCTCACCCAGGCCAGCGTGGCAGGGGGGCTGCTGGCAATGGAGCAGAGGAACCGCAGGGAGTCGCCCTCCCGGGCCGTGAGCTGTGAACCGTTCCCCACTGCGTTGCTGGGGTCTGGGAATAGAAATAACAGAGTGACTCGCATCCTGAGCCAGCCAGTCCCTGCGCAGGGGCTGGATCGGGGCTGGCGCCCCCTAGAGGGGAAAGGCCCCGTCCCCACTCCCCACCCCCTAGCGGTACCTTGGAATAGCTGGGGGTCGCTCCTGTTAGCTCTGGAGATGGTGATTTCCGGAGTCCTCACTGGATCTGAAATACCCACGGCAACGTATTAGATTGGAGAGTGACCCCCACTGACCCCCTGCTCCACAGCCAAGCACCCCCAATGACTCCCCACCCCTCTCCGCAGCCCAGCACCCCCCATGGATCTCCTGCTCAGCCTGTTCCCTGCAGCCCAGCGCACTCATGGAGGCACTCTGTCTGCCATGGCGCCCCCTAGAGCCTTACACCTCACGTGCACACACAAGGCCCAGCTGGCCAACCGGTAGGAATTCTTCACCCAGCACCGATACTCCCCAGCATCCCCTGGGCTGAGATTCAGCAGCTCCAGGTGCCCGTCCCCTCCCTGGCCGGGGCTCGGGGATCCATTCACCCTGGCCCAGCTCAGGGTGACCTCAGTTCTGCTCCCAGCCTCACAGCTCAGGCTCAGGGAGTCGCCCTCCTGGGTCACCAGAGACAATGTTGCCTTCAGCTCCCCACGCATCTGGCACTGGAAGAGATGAGCAGGCGGGTTTGGTCCCCCCCAGAGATCCCCCACTAAGGAGCTGAGACGCAGCCACGCTGGGGTGGGACATGGCGGCTGTTTATACAGGGACCGCTCACCCGGCACTTAGACACGGCCCCTCTGGGGTGGGTGCACAATCTCGGTGCCTTTCCATGGCAGCAGCAGGTCTCTGTCACAGCGATCGCTCCCTAATCCACCTCCTCCCCGCTGCCCAGTGCCCCCTTAACAACGCCCTGGGGTCTGGAGACAGAGAGCGGGGCCCTCTCCCCCCACCCCCCCATCACCCTCCCTACACCTCAGCAGCTTCCTCAGGCTCTCCCCTCTGGGCACAGAGCAGCCTGGCCCAGCTGAGCCTGGGGCCTGGCCCTGAGTGCAGGCAGAGAGTGACTAGGAGGCGCTCACTGATTCCCAGGGCTCACAGCGCAGCCTGTCACCGGGGCATCCGTTCCTGGTCAGCGTCCCGGTGATGTTGGGAGACCCGGGCGGGGGGGGGGGGGGTCACTAGTGATCACTGAGCCTAGACATGGACCCTTGCCGTGAGCTCAGCTGGGGGACGGGAAAGTCCCTGAAGTGACAAAAGATCCCTGGGAGGGGAAGGGAAGTGACAGACCCACCCAAGAGGCGCCCAATGTAACCCAGGGGCCGGGTTAGGGCCGCACTGGGGAACCAGAACCGTGGGAAATGGAAACCGAAGGGACAAAAACTGGTGAGTCAAAATTGGGCCTAATTGGCAGAGTCACTAACAAGGGGCCGGGCTGTTCCGGCCTGGGCACTAGAGCGACTGTCACCAGCGCCACTGTCAGCCGGGCACCTGGGCGTTCAGTATCCTGTTCCCCAAATCTGTCCTCCCCAAGGCGGGACAGAGCCAGGGGTCTAAATAACCCTGATCCTGCCCCCACCCCAGACTCAGACCCGTCCACCACCAGGGACATCAGACACCCCCGTCATGGATCCTTTGCCTCCCCCCTTGGTTCTTCTCTCCCCAGACCTCTCCTTTTGCCCCCAGCTTGGCCGGCCAGGTCTGGGTATTTTGCAGCCCGGCTGTGCCCAGGAGGGCGTCTGAAAGCAACACCCAGAACAGCTGAATGCTGATACTGGCTGGCCAGGCCTGGCAGGGTCTGTCCACGCTGCCCTCAAAGCCCCACGGAGCCGAGCCTCAGAGCCTGGGTCTGTTGGGTCGGGTTCGCGGGGCTCGGGCTGTGGGTCTTTGATTGCAGCGCGGACGTTTCCTCCTAGGCCTGTGTAGACGTTCAGGGTCATGGTGGGGCCTGGGATCAGACACGGGTGTGGGGGGGAGTTTCCTTCTAAATCTCCCTTCGGCTGAAGGGAACAAGGGCCGTCCTTACAGTGAAGCCTGATTGGATCCTTCACCTTGCAAAGGCTGCTGCTGATTTCCTGTGCCCTGGATCTGCAGCGCGAGGGTCACAGGCCGTTTAATGGGGGTTTGCCCTGGGGCAGGGCGGGCCGAGGTCTCTGGGCACCGAGCCCGGAGCGTGTTTAGTGCCGGACAGTGACTGGGTCCCGAGGGGACTGGAATGGGGGGTGGATACCAGCACAAGAGGATTCTGGGGGCAGGGAACGTCGGGGGTAGAGAGGATCCCAGAAGAGAAGGGCCTGGGGATCTGGGGGTGTGGATGGGAGGGGGGAGCCATAGCCAAGGGGGTCAGGAAGGGGTGAAGATCCCAAGGGAGAAGGGGTGCAAGGTGTGGAGAGAAGAGGCCTGGAGTAGAATTGGCTGAGTGTGGCTGGTGGGGGGTGGGGATCCCAGCACAGGGCTGAGTTGGGGGAGAGGCTGGAGGGCAGGGCTGGGGAGCCCAGGGGTGGGGATCTTAGCAGAGGGGGCTGTGGGCCGGCATGGAGGGGCTGGGTGGGTCACTCACAGCCGACACGGAGCCAGATGGTTCTGCTGGTGGAAGGTGCCCATCGTGCCCTGTAGGTGACTATGCAGATGAGCTGTTTGCCGTGGTCCCCCAGGGTGGGTGTGAAGCGGAGCTTGGACCTGTGGGCCCAGGTGCCGTTCGCCAGCTGGACTGATGTGTCCCGGGCTGTGGTGCTGAATGGTCCTGTCAAGGTGACTTGGGGAGGGGTCCCGGAACAGCGCCCAGGGGCCGTGCAGGTCACAGTCACTGGCTCCCCGACCAGCAGCATCCCTGGCAGCCCCCGCGCCGGCAAGATCTGGATCTCTGGCTCCTCCGTCAGCCCTGAGACACCGGGAGAGGGGAGAGAATCAGGTCGGGGACACAGGGCCTTTCCCCTATAGGGGCGCGGCTCTGATCCGGCACAGGGCTGGTACTGGTTGGCTCAGGGGGGCTGCTGAGCGGTGACTGTGGCTGCTCTTACCTGACACAGAGATCGTGAGCGTAAGGTCAGTGTGATCGGTACTGGTGCGGTAATTGTAGTTAACTCTTCCCTCGACTCTAAGGAAATATCTCCCTGCATCTGTCTGTTGGGCGTCGCTGATTTGCAGGGAGCAGTCGCCGCGCACTGGATTCTCCGCCAGCCGGAACCGACCCTGGGTCTGCTGCGACACCCACAAGTTGCGGTCACTCCTGGCCACAGGTGGATTCTGGCCCACAATGGCCGTATCCTTGTACCAGTATCTGTAGAGCTGGGCTGAGGGATTGTCGGTGTCGTACGAGGCTGGGTATGTGAAGTTGCAGGGGACAAGAACGCAGAGACCCTCTTGCACCGACACCGACTGCGGCACCGTCAGGGTAAATCCGGGCTGCTGGGACAGGGACCCTGCAGGGGACAGAGAGGGATGAAAGCAGAACCCATAGAGAGCAGAGACCAACCCTGAGCTGCACCCCCCAGAGCTCTGTCAGTGTCCCTCACTCCCGACCTGCAGTCCCTTGTGAGCCCACCCCGGGTCCTCGATGTAAACTCACACCGTTTAGTTTCCATCCCTCCCTACATCGAGCCCCCTGCCGCCACTCCCTGTCACTCAGTGTCCCCTAACACCACACTGGGCTTCCCCCCCTCTGGCGAGTCTCCCTTTCAAGTTCTGGGACAGACCTGGCCCCGCTCAGTGCAAGTTCTGCCCTTTCCCCTGCACTGGGGCTGCAGGTGCTGCTTACTTACCCCTCCAGAGCAGGGCGAGGATCAGGACCCTCAGTGTGGCCGCAGTGGGGGAAGGTTCCCCTACTCTCCATGGGGGACCCTGAGCCAGGAGATCCCATTCCCCGGCATTATGCTGTGGCGGCAGGGCTCTGCCCATGGCTGGGGCGTCCGGCTGGGACAGACCTAGAGACAGACGGGAGGGTGGGAAGTGTGAGAGCAGAGGCTGTTGGGGCAGGGACAGCTCTGCCTTGGGGACCATCAGTGCTGCTGGGCTCTGTGGAGGCGGATCTGGGGCTTCTGGCAGCACAGTGACCCCCGAAATCCCAACATCACCAGAGAGTCCGGAGTGATTGTGGGTTAAAAAGATCCTTAAATTGGTGAAAAAACCTGAGATTCTCTGTAAGGATATATCTACACTACCCGCCGGATCGGCGGGCAGTGACCGATCCAGCGGGGATCGATTTATTGCGTCTAGCCTAGATGTGATAAATTGACCCCCGAGCACTTTCCTGTCGACTCCTGTACTCCAGCACCGTGAGAGGCACAGGCAGAGTCGATGGGGGCGGGGCAGCAGTCGACTCACTGTGGTGGAGACACCACGGTAAGTCGATCTAAGTACATCGACATCGGCTAAGTTATTCACATTGCTGAAGTTGCGTAACTTAGATTGATTCTCACAGTGTAGACTGGGGCTAAGAATCATAAGATTGGAGAGAAAATCCTGAGCTGGTGACAGAAGATGGTGGGAAGGCAGCGCTGCTCAGTGCCTGCTTTGCTTCAGTCTTCCCACAAAAAAACAACATGTGAGCGGGAGACCAGCGAAGTTGCCACGGACAACAAAGGGGAAGGGCTGCTGATTGGGATAAATAAAGAACAGGTTAGAGATCTTCTGAATTCAAATCAGTGGGGTGGGACGCTGTTCAACCCAGGGGGCTGAAGGAGTTAGTTGGAGCCCCTGGCAAGAATATTTGCAAACTCGTGGATGCCAGGAGAGGTCTCAGAAGATGGGAGAAGGACTAACAGAGGGGCCATCTTTAAAAGGGGGAAAGGAGGAGCCGGGGAACTATAGACCAGTCAGCCTGACCTCCACACCTGGAAAGCTACTAGAGCAATGTATAAAATCTTCAAATTGTGAGGCCAAAAGGGTGATCACCAGTATGGATTTACCAAGAACAAATTTGGCCAAATCAGCTTGATTTCCTTCTCGATGAGGTAACTGGTTGGGGACAGGGGGAAAGTGGTGGACATAATATACTTGGATTTCAGCAAGGCTTTTGACACAGTCCCACATGACATTCTCATAAGTAATCTGGAGAAGACTTCTGAAGGAAATTGCAGAACTACTTACTGTGATATGTAACCTATGATTTAAATCAGCTTCTGTACCGGATGACTGGAGGAGAGCTAATGTGACACCATTTTTTAAAAAAGACTCCAGAGATGATCCCAGCAATTAGAGGCCACTAAGCCTAACTTCAGTGCCGGGCAAACTGTTTGAAACTACAGTAAAGAACAGAATTATCAGATGCAGAGATGAACATGATTTGTTGGAGAAGAATCATCCCTCACCAGTTTAATAGAATTTTTGAGGGAGTCAACAAGCAGGTGGACAAGGGTGACCCAGTTGATGTAGTGTAGTTAGATTTTCTGAAAGCCTTTGACAAGGTCCCTCACCAAAGGCTCTTAAGCAAAGTGAGCTGTCATAGGATAAGTGGGAAGGGCCTCTCTTGGATCAATAACAGGTTAAAAGATAGGGTGGAAATGATAGGAATAAATGGTCAATTTTCACAGAGGAGAGAGGTAAATAGCAGTGTCCCCCAGGGGTCTGTACTGGGACCAGCGCTGTTCAACATATTCATAACTGATCCAGAATAAGGGGTAAACAGTGAGGTAGCAAAATTTGCAGACAATACAAAACTACTCAAAATAGTTAAATTCAAAGCTGACTGCAAAGGGCTACAAAGGATCTCACAAAACTGGGTGACTGGGCAACAAACTGGCAGATGAAATTCA